ACTCTCGTCGTCATCGGCACACAAACACTCGCTCTCGACGTCGACCTCGCTCGAAAGTCGAATCAACAAAGATTCGAAGCGAAGAAGTTTCTCGAGCGATCTCGACGACCGCACGAATTAACGCTCTAATTCTGAACAGCCGTCATACAAATTTTTTAACTATACATTTAATTTGAGTTCCATTTTGTAATTTCAGGATTACTTTATAATTAAATATCATATTTTTACAGAGTTTTTAAATTGGTGAGTTTGTGATGAAAAATGTTAATAAAAGTTGTTAACAAATGAAAAATTATTTATTTATATAAAAATGATAAATTAAAAATAACCCATCTTTCCAGAACAAGTTCAGATCTTTAAAAATTGGTCTCTTGCATTTTTTTTATACGACTAATGGTTTCAATGACATAATAATTTGAATGTTCGTATGAGCAACGTTTTTCATATAACTTTCTGCAACTTACAATTGTGGATAATTTCACAAATAAAATCTGAAATTTTTTTTGCGAAACACATATCTCATATTTTTATCTGTAAAATGTCAACAAATTAGAAAAAAAATTAAAAATGATGAAATTTCAAAATTTACTCAGTTTGACGTGGAATGCCTCTTATACAAAAAAATTGAGATTTTTTTTAATGTTATAAAAAACACTTTAATTTTAATAACAAACAGTCTGTAAACTATAAAAATATATTATTAGATATGAATGTAACGTCCGCCGAAATTTGCGCGCAGGCGAACGTCACGTTCAACGACGCCAGACGCGTTGCCACGCGGCTGCGCGAGAGGGAGCGAGACAGCGAGAGTGGTGGGGATGATTCTCGTGTTTCCCGGGAGCCAGATGTGCATCACTGGGTAAGCTTATAAATACTTGTAGTTGTACAATATTGGTAATTCCTTTTTCCATTGTCTTTTTATATATAGTGTTTATATTATCAATAACGCTTTTAATTGATATTTTCATCCTTAATTCAGCTTCTTTGATAAACTGCAACATTAAAATTTATATATAATTTCATCACAGCATATAAAAAAATAACGTGATCTTCGAAACCATTTCACTTTTATCTTAATCATTTTTCTCTAAAATGTACTGTCAAGAAATATTTCAGGTTATATTTAAAATAGGATACTCTATACACATGCACGCACACACACGTATAAATATTTTAGACTTACACATTCTTTTTGTGAAAGATAATGCGGCCACACATCCCCAATGAGGTCGAATTTGAAAAGATTGTTGAAGCAGCTCAACAATTGTAATTGTCGAAAGTTTATCTTGTGCTGAATCCTGAAAAAAAATACGTAATAAAATTAATAAGTGTAAAGATTTTAGACAGAGATGCAAAAAATTGTTTTTTTTTATTTAATATTTCGAATTATGAATTTTATATTTTGTGTTATGAGATTCTCATAATGCATATTTTTTACCTCGAGTTTTTTGTAAGCTTCTTCTGGAGTGATTATTTCCAACTTTTTTTTCTTTTGCAACTGCAATCGATTAGACTTATGTTCTTGACGACTATTTCTGTGACGTCTAATATCAGCAATTTGATGTACAAAATTTCCCTATTTCACAAAACAAAAAATTGTAACTTGGTATGATATAATACATTAATGTAAGAATATAATTTTCACTTACATATTTTGTTTTAAATTTGGATAACTGTTGTAGAGGGATTGAAGGAAAACTTGCTACAAGTGTTTCTCCTATATCACGATACTTTCAACGTTTTCTCATATGACTCATGTCATGAGGAATTATGTTGTGCCTGCTGATTAAATAATGTCTCACAATTAATACATAATATTGTATATTATTTCTTATTATAAATAAAAACACAAAATGTACTTACTCCAAGTGCTCTATTAGTTCATCTTTCACTTGAGAACATCAATTTTTTTTTATTTTTGGGTTCATAACTTGCCCCTCCAAAAAAGGCATTACATACGAGCTAAATTTAGATAACAATTGAGCTTCATTTTTATCATACTGTAACTCAAAATAACAGAATAGAATTTTTACAAAAATATACAGTTACAGAATAAGTATATCTTTTTTTTTAAATAGTATAATTCTAATTTATATGGCCAATAAACCACCCTGAAGGCAAAAGAATATGAATCTTGTCGTTTAAGGCATATTCTGGAATAGTCCATGGATATTTAAGTTCGCAAATATTATACATTTCCAGTTGATTTTCACAAGATACGATATAACTGCATATGTTTTGTTCATATATTGTAAGAAGAGATTTCACAAGCAAATAATACACGTCTTCAACAAGAAATATCCGATCAACTCTATCGAATAAAGGATGTTCATCAATCTGTCCAACTATTACAATGACATTGTTCATGTATTGTATTCCGTGATATTTCAAGTATGACAATTCGATTACCTCAGAGACATTATTAGAATTAAAGAACTTTTCAAAGATAGCACTTTCTTCTTCTTTCACAACAATGTTTTTAATTTTCATGTCCACTAATGGGGATAAAAAAGTCTTTCTAACATAGCCATTACTATGAAACATCTGATAAGCACACTATTTGAAAATGATCCATTACAGAATAGCAAATATTTTTGTACGAAAAGAAACATTTTTGCTTCACAACAAAATGCTTACTTTCGGCACGAATACATGATTGGAATCTACCTTGTCCATGTGTACGCATTTGTGCAGCTAAGTGAACCAGCATATACAATTTAGGAAAGAAATTACCTGGCTACAATTTCACATACAGGTTTTGGTGTTCATGCACTAAAGTCTCTATCGCAGCTAAAGATTTAACTGTCAATATAGGTGACCATATCAATTTAACAATAGCGACAAGCAAAAGAAAACACTGAAAGTTTTGATTATCAGCAGGAATATCACGATATAGTATTATCGACAAATGATACATTAGCGTAAAATTTGCGCGCTTTACTCGTTCCTGATATAGACAAATCTTGAGGAATAAGGCGAGGCCTTTCACCACTCGGAATGCTTTTATGGAACTTAAAATTGTTAATTAGAATATTCAGGCGATCACGATTGATTAAACGTTGCGAAATAATAGATTTTAGCAGCAGGCTTATTTCTTTAGGAACAATACCTTCCAATAATACGTGCATAAGATCATACAAAACGTCTTTAAATATATTAAAAAAAGGAATCTGTCGGAATATATTATCTCGTTTAATTCCATTACTTAGAGATTTCTTAGAATACAAGGCTTTGTTCCTTCTCATCGCTTCTTTCATTTCATCAACAACTCGATAGTGTTGCACCTCATTTCGCAAAGGACATTGATAATGGTATGATAATTGAGGAAATGATTTAAACGACGCAGTACAGATTCGACATTGTTGCTTAACGAGAGGAGAAAAACATTCCTTAAAACCACATAATTGATGTGCTGCTAGGGCATCAGCATGATACGCAAATAGGTAGCCATAAAATATTTCTCCATGAGGATCAGAAAGAATTATAATTCCTGTTGAAGCAAGTATCTTCAAATCATTAATGAAATTATTAAGAAGAATTTCGTGTGTTCTTAAAGATTTCAATGATTTACTTTTACACACAGAGAGCTATGCAAAATGTGGCTGCTAAACGTGATCGCAAGTGAACAGGAATATTCAAGATAGTACATA